ACAGTGGAAAGATTTAGCATGTGAACAAACTATTAAGTCTGCCTGAAGGACAAAGGGCGTTAAGATGAGGTATGAAACACAAAGCCAGTTACCGTTTTGTCCCTGCTGCCAGGAAATTCTCATTTCTACCTTATCTTAGCCTTTCACACTGGGAGACAGTTTCAGAGTAGCCCCCTACCTTGTCATCCTGCTACTTCCAAGGCTGTGAGAGGGGAAAAGGCAGCAGTTATTTCTGAGTCCACTTCGCTGGCCTGGGAGCCTTCCTGCTGATTTCAAAGCCCATGGGAGGCGGCAAGGATAAAGTGAATTCATATGACTGAAATGCCAACACTCCATCTGATAAAGTACTCCCAGCTCCAAACATTATTTTTCTATTTTGAGTTTTTCCCTCTCAACTATCTTTTTGTATGAATCATCCACTTTGAAGTCTACATACCAAGTATGAACACATTCACCATATCCTGAATTTAATGTCACTGATGTCAACCTTTTCAGTAAGTTGTGAGGACTGTTGTAGGGAAGGAGGTATGTCTCACTGAGCCATATGTAGTACTACCACCTTACCCTTATTTCTGGAGGCTAGTTTTGGAAATACAAGTGCATATTCCATGAAGACAGATTTGACATTTAATTACGAAGAATGGCGTAAAGATATGAGAGACAGGAAAGAAGGCCAGTTTTTCTGGAAGTGATATGGAATACTGGATCACATGCTTGGGTTTGAATCTTAGTTTTGCCCTTTTACTAGGTGTGCAACCCTGAGCAAGTCATTTACCTTAGCGTCCTTGCTTGTACAATCAGGACTGAAGGAGTGCCAAAGGCATAGGATTTTTGTGGGGATTCAATGAGATAACACATACAAAGCACGTTCCACAGTGTCCATCACCTAGTGAGTATTCAGTAAAGCATAGCTGATGTTTATGGTGAGAAATAAGACTAACAAAATAGGTCAGATCAAGCTCTAAATGGGCAAATAAGTCCAAGAGTTCCTATCTTTTCTTAGAAATGTGTGAAGGTTTTGATAAGAGAAGTGACATATTCAAAACTGACTTCGGGTGTGTGTGAACAAGTACACTAGAAAAAAAAAAAAAGGAAGAATTAGAGACGAAACTTGGGAGGTTTCAACAGTCCGGGTTAGAGATGAACTAATATATTAAGTAGGGAGAAGTCGCAAGTTAAAAACTGCGTTAACTGATGCAGTGAGGGAGGGAGGGAGGGAGGGAGGGAGGGA